ACACAATATCATATTCATTACCTTGATCTGCCTCCTCAAACACCTTAGCGAAAAAAGTTAGTAAATTCGTAAGACAAGAACGCCCTTTAGTAAAACCGTGTTGAGATTCATTTATCAATTTATGCCTATCAAGATGGCTACGAATTGCGTTGATAATTATTGATTCCATAAATTTTCCCACTATGGTAGGTATGGTAGCCTGGCTGGCTGCCATACCTACCACATCTGATTTCTTACGATAAATGCTACTCATCTCGCCCTACATTAAGACTACAAATATTTTAAGATAAGTAATGAGTGTACTATATGTGTATTTTACTTTTTTATTGTTTTTAATGCCTAATTCTATTGCTAACTTAATATAAGTTAGTGTAAACTTGTCTAGTATTTACAGCCTCTCCTCACTTAGTGACATACTCGTTTACCGACGCCTCGTACTTATGATGGGCTCTCTGACCAGTATTTATACCTAAATAATGTATATTAGAGCTGATTTTCTCAATTCTGTTTATTACAATATACAGTACACTGCTGTATAAACATTTAAAAATATACCAGAAATGTTATAAATGGTGTAAAGGTGACATGAAAACAATATTAAAGATGGTTGACACAAATTCACTACCATTATAGTATGCTCCTTGTTTAGCGATGAATTCGTTTACCAATGGGGTCTTAGGTCCCTATCTCCGTCATTGAGTGAGGAGAGGCTGTATATGCACTTATAAGTGGAAAAAATGGCATTCCACTTTAAGGCAATTTTTGCTTTAACCCTTTCAGGGTCAACAGGCCCTCTCCTAAAATTTTTCAAAACAAAAAAAAAAATTTTTTTTCTTGTGAAATGATAGAGAATCTATTCTCGATCATAATGACACCAAAAGTATGAAATTTGATAGAAAACTTACGGAATTAGGCTCTTGCGAAGTTAGCTGTCTCGACGATGTTTACGCATTGGCGATTTCACCAGATTTGAGCCCTATTTTCGGCCAATTCCAATGTACCAGTCAACAAAAATCATAACTATTTCGCTAGAACTCCATTTTTTCTGTTGAATGAGTACAAGAAACCACCCATTTACCGATTTCAACTATCCAATAAAGAGGTCAGAAATTGGCAATTTTGCCAATTTCACATAAATTTCAAAAGATGCCAATTTCCAAATAGGGTCCAGAATAAACAAGACAGACATTCCTGGCACTAAAATAACATTTCCTCTGTTCATTAGTCATGTCCCCAGGCCTCTGTTACATTTCTTTTGCTTTCCACTTTGAATTTTTATTCTCACAAAAAATAGAAGATTTACTGTTATGCAGACTACTGCATTAGTGTAGAAATGGTATAAATAATATCAGCACACTTGTGAAAGAATATTAGACTCACCAGTTGACATGTATTGGATGCATGGCTTGATTTATTTACTTTTGAACTTTGGCAGAAATCAAACATTTCTGCTACTTTGAGCTCAATTTCAAGGTACTTTTCATTGTGAAACTAATAAAAATCATGTTAATTTCTGTACTATGTCTTCCATTCTATAAAATGAGACCAGGAAAGCTAGAATACAACCATAAATAGCATATGATAACACACTGCAAAGTCGCTGTTTTAAACCAAAAACATAGATGGATTTTTTTTTCTCATTATGCACTGTGTGCTGCAGGATTTTTTTTATACTGTGCACACTGACCACATAGACCCATTTGAAGCCACTAAAATTATTGAGTATGTATATACGTCCGAAACACTGGCTCGCAAGACATATATATATGACCAAAACAGTCAAGGGGTTAAAGTAATATTGAAATAGTTGGACAGGGAAATGCTAGAAAATAATGCTCCCAGCATGTTAGATTAAAATTGTTATGTGCACTGTGGTGGGGTTCCACATCTAATAAACATGTAGATAGGCTAGAACTTTTTTTTTTTAATTTACTTCAGTATGGCTTCAAAGGTAAACACTATGAGCACAAATGAAGGCCAATAGAGTTAGATATGCTCTCACGGGCTGATGACCCTTACGGGTTTAGCGTGTAGTTATGATTATAATCATAATCTCACTGGCTGATACAAGGGAAAGAAGAGACATAATAACCACATTAGATTATACAGGGCTGTAAAAAATTTCTTATCACCATCAACAAGGAGAACAGAAGACCATAACAATAAACTAAAACAATATAATTAGCCAAAGGTAGTAACATAGTGGTAAAATAATGGAATTGTACACAGATAGCCCTCACATGGGAGAATGAAACTTACAACGATATTTTAATCTGATTTGAACAGTTAACTAGTCACACACTGTCTTTTTATCCTTTAATAATGTAATGGGTTTCAAAAGGAGGTAATAATAGTTACAAGCACTGGAAACTTAAGTATATAATACAGTGGACCCTTGACCAACAATTTTAATCCATTCCAGAGAGCTTGTCCTTAGCCGAATTTATCGTTCGCTGAATTTATTTTCCCCATAAGAAATAATGGAAATCCAATTACATAATCCGTTTCAGACAGCAAAAAGTATTAAAAAAATAAAAAAATTTTTTACATGAAATATGCATTTCCCTACAAAGAAAACAATGAGAAATGCACAATAAATACATAAATAAATACTAAAATGACACTTACCTTTATAGAAGAGTATTGATGAGTGATGAGACACTGTTTTTCTTGAACATTCTGGGATTTTCAGAGTGATACATGAGTAAAGGCTTCACTTTGCAATCCCCACTAGCATTACAACAAAACAAGAAAGTTAGCCTGTCTTTCATAGGTGTGTATCCTGGGAGTGCCTTTTCCCCCTGAGTAATGTAGGTTCTGTTTGACATTTTCTTCCAGAACAGGCGTGTTTTGTCACAATTAAACACTTGTTGGGGTTGGAATTTTTCAGCTTCACCATGCCTTATCACACTGTGTATGCCACTACGATTCTTAAATCTCTCAAACCAACCTTTGCTGGCCTTAAATTCACCAATACGAGCACTAGTTCCAGGCATTTTTTCCTGTTCACCTGGGTGTTAGTTGACTGGTGTAGGTCGCATCCTGGGGGACAAGATTGAGGACCCCAGTGGAAATAAGTTAGACAGTCCTTCATGATGCACTGACTTTCTTGGGTTATCCTGGGTGGCTAGCCCTCTGGGGTTAATTGTTTCTCGTTAATTGTTTCTCGTTAAGCCACACCAACAACACTCTCTCCACATCTTCGAGTAGTACAGCTGACAGTGGTGCAGCAGCAGCTGACGGTGGTGCAGCAACAGCAGCAGCTGACAGTGGTACAGCAGTGGCTGACGGTGGTACAGCAGCAGCTGACAGTGGTACAGCAGCAGCTGATGGTGGTACAGCAGCAGCTGATGGTGGTACAGCAGCAACTGATGGTGGTATAACAGCAGCTGATGGTAGTACAGCAGCAGCTGACGGTGGTACAGCAGCAGCTGACGGTGGTACAGCAACAGCAGCAGCTGACGATGGTACAGCAGCAGCTGATGGTGATACAGCAGCAGCAGCTGATGGTGGTGCAGCAGCAGCTGATGGTGGTGCAGCAGCAGCTGATGGTGGTGCAGCAGCAGCTGATGGTGGTGCAGCAACAGCAGCAGCTGACCATGGCGCAGCAACAGCAGCAGCTGACCGTGGTACAGCAGCAGCTGATGGTGGTGCAGCAGCAGCTGACGGTGGTGCAGCAGCAGCTGACGGTGGTGCAACAGCAGCTGACAGTGGTACAGCAGCAACTGATGGTGGTACAGCAGCAGCTGACGGTGGTACAGCAACAGCAGCAGCTGACGGTGGTACAGCAGCAGCTGACAGTGATACAGCAGCAGCTGACAGTGGTGCAGCAGCAGCTGATGGTGGTACAGCAGCAACTGATGGTGGTACAACAGCAGCTGATGGTAGTACAGCAGCAGCTGACGGTGGTACAGCAGCAGCTGATGGTGGTGCAGAAACAGCAGCAGCTGATGGTGGTACAGCAGCAGCTGACGGTGGTACAGCGGCAGCTGACGGTGGTACAGCGGCAGCTGACGGTGGTACAGCAGCAGCTGATGGTGGTGCAGAAACAGCAGCAGCTGATGGTGGTACAGCAGCAGCTGACGGTGGTACAGCAGCAGCTGACGGTGGTACAGCGGCAGCTGACGGTGGTGTAGCAACAGCTGACTGTGGTACGATAGTATTTTGATAGTATTTCTCACCCTTTTTGACACAGGGCTGGCACTAGAAGCTTTCTTTGGGCCCAAGGTGGCTTAATTAGCAGTTACAAGCACTAAAAACAATGGAATAATACAAAATATATCGCTTGTATGCGTGAAACCGTCCACCCTGGCTTGTAAACAATGGCACTAGCTGAAGGCAGGGCAGCTGAGGTGCTCAAACTGGATGGACAGGCTGACTCGTTTGGGACGAATGTCCTTACCTGAGTTTATCATCGTTGGTCAAGCCAATATTTTTACTCAAAAACGCATCGTTGCTGGAATTTATCGTTAGTCGATGCCATCGTTGGTCGAGGGTCCACTGTAGTAAAAAATTAAATATCAGACATAGAACACCACAAGCTTTGCTTTGCTCCTGCACCACTCTTGCTCATATTCTTTATTTACTGTTATTATTAACAGTCACTTACAGACACTTGAGGAGGATTGGATTTGAAAAAGACCTGCTAGAAAGGCCTGCTGAAGTGTTTTTTCATTCTTATATTCTAATTTTTTTCATACAATCATACTATCTCACACTCTCTTAATCTCTATCTCACTCCCATTATTTCTCACTCCCATTATTTCTCACTCCCATACACTCTCACTCATTCTCATAGTTTCTAATTCTCTGAAACTCTCTCATTCTCATTACCCTCTCCCCTCCCTCTCCTTTCCCTCCTCCCCTTCCTTCCATTCTTCCTTGTTCCTTCCTTTCCTACACCATTACATATGCTCAGCCATGTCATGATGTAATCCAGTTCAGGCTAAAATGCCAGTAAATGCTCTATATAATTATTTACTGTCTTTTGCAAAACATAGGTGATGACACAATGCTAGGTGACCAGTCTTACCGCTACCTCACCGTGGATGAGATGAAGTCCCTTGGTGATGATTCTCTTCCCATTGATGTCACCAAGGATGAGAAGATGGATATATCTTTCATCAGCAATTCTATGGCAGGTGAGTTAAAAAATAATTTATGAGTTGCACAGAGAACTGTCAAGACGAGCAATGGTGAGCCTATGATGATGCTTTTTAGGGCACTAGTTTTCTCCAGGCTGGAATGTTGCTGTATAATAATGGCCCTCTTTGAGGGAGCTATTAGTATACATACAGAGAACTTTCACTGCCTGCATATATTCAGTCAAACATCTAACTACTGTGAGCGTTTGAATTCCCTTGGAACTTACCTGGAGGGTGTTCCAAGGATCAACGCCCCTGCGGCCCGGTCCATGACCAGGTCACGAGGAAGCCATGCATGTACTCAACTAATTGTAATCACCTAATTGTGGTTGCAGGGGTCGAGACTCGGCTCCTGGCCTGCCTCTTCACTGATCACTACGTGTGTCCATGTGTGCACGCATGTGTGTGTATATATAACACTGAAGTTCACAGTGTGAAAAAAAAAATAATTTCTAGTACCTGAAGGATTTATACTGTTATCTTAATATATAAAAATGATGCTTATGTTCATGAATTTATAAGAATAAATACATATGCTAACCACTATATCTTCTTTTCCTTTTATCTTTTCTAGCTCCTCCAGTTGCTCCAGCTGATCAGCTTAGCCCACAGCATCAGAAAGAGCAGCAGTATGCCCAGTTCACTGGGCATTATCCATCAGACAATGTTGATGTTGCCAAAACAACAATTCTTGCTGGGTATGTTATTCGAGTGTTTTTTATGTGTTTATTTTCATTCTGGAGGTGCTACATTACAATATATGAAATGCAAATGAGCATTTCCTGTCCATAAGATATACCTTTTCCTTTATTTTAAGTTTTTTCTCTGCCCATTGAAGGGACCTCGTATATAGCATGGGAACATTAAGCCTTATATTGTTATAAAAGAATTTCATAAGTAAAATGATTTCTATTTACATTGAAAATGAATGTGAATATTGTGTAAAATTTAAAGTTTTAAATGTAAAATAAAATTTTTTGTGCATTAATTCAGAATCACTCTTGAGTCAGCTGAAGAATTAAACATTATCTAAATGAATAATAATAATAATAATAATAATTAATAATAATAATAATAATAATAATAATAATAATAATAATAATAATAATAATAATAATAATAATAATATACACAAAAAGTAAAAAGGGAAGTTACAAAAGCCTATTTTTAAAAACTGATAGGTGTTATGTCATACAAGTATCTTTGCTCTTCTCTGCCATGGCCACATTCAAGTCAAGTTAAAATAAATGAAGTGTTTGGAAAAACATATGTATATGTGTTTTAAGTGAGGTTAGTTCACATTAATGTGTGTAATAACATTTGAGAACGTTTAGAGATTTGTCACCAGACATGTCACTGTAATTTTGTATTTTTAGTAAGCTGTTTGTAGCTATGAGAGCAGAGCTATGAGCTGTGATCCCAGTATCCTCTTCAGTAATTAAATTTTCACTGGTTGAAGCACTGTCACGAAGGTTAAATTATAAGGTTAGACTGAGATAAATATATTTCACAGTGCTGGAGTAACAAAACAATGCAGGGGACATGAAAAATGATAGGGTGATACCAGCAAGATGTAGAAAAAGGCACTTACAGTTCTGAACCGTACATAAGTATCTTTTTCAACAACACGGGACATCTCACATTAGATATTACAATCTGAGGTAGTGGTAAGGTGGGCAGAGATGACTAAATGAAAGAAAAAACAGAACTAGAAATAAAACAGAAAATAATCACCCACATATGATGAAAAGATATAAAAGATAAGTGTTCAGCATGAGAGTGGTAGTAAGTGGAATGTACATGGAGAGGACACAGTGGAGGCAAAATCTATCCATGATTTCAACTGTAAATATAACTGAACTTGTGGAGTTAGATGGGGCATTGCTCAAGTCAGCAAATGATGCTGGTGACATGTGGCTCAGGAGCTGGAGCTTGATATCTATGAACATTAGGTGAGTACATACCTAAGCATGCACACAGACTGAAAAACAACTAATTTAATATTACCTGGTAGGTTCCCCGACCTACAGTGGATTACTTTTGATAATTAGGTACTTGATAAAATAAATAAGTTGCTGCAAACTGTTATAATAAAAAAATATATATATTTATGTACTTTATATATAATGCCTCTTACTTGCAATTGAAAAAGTTGAAAATTATCACCAAGCAAATTAAGTGACAAACTTATGAACCAGACCTTGGGGCTAAAATAATGGAGAGCCTGTTGCTGGTTCCTGAAAATTTCATTGACCTTCAGTTCAAAGATATTTCATGGTTAACTAAGGGGGATGATCTATGAGGAGAGGCTGATGGAATTAGACGTAACGACATTAGATAAGGTAGACAGGGATTGATAAGGTAGACAGGAATAGGCTGTTTGACAGGTGAGAAATGGGAACTCAGGGATGCCATTGGAAATTAGTCACAGGTGAGCTACAGGGATGTTAGGAAGTATTTCCTCAATCTCAGAGTGGTCGGGAAGTGAAATGAGGTTTTAAGAGCTCGTTTGATAGGCCCAAAGGCTAAGAGGAAGTGAATCTGGCAAGTGGCAAGTTGAGAGGCAGGGCTAAGAACTGAGTCTTGACCCCTGCGACCACAAATAAGTTAGCAGTAATAGGAGAGTACACATACACACACCCTTACTCTTGCTATAAATTTACACTTGACATAATTGTAGTACACATTGTATATAGTATATTAAAGATAGGAAGGCTCGGCAGTACTGCAGGATAAGGAAGAGATAGTGAAATAGAGAGACATGCAGGAATGGAATGGAGGGAAGAGAGAGGCTGTATAAGGGTGATATACATTTTTTTTTCTAAGATTATTTTGTAAAATTGTAGTGTGAGATATACTACTATAAAGAGATCAGGTATGTCTTCCTTGATTACCCATGTGTCATCTCAAAATCATATCTTGTTGTTTATTCCACAATAATCAGAACCATGTATCATGTATCCTCATCATATTTTTTTGTATGTAAATTTTATTCCTAAATTAAGACTTTAAGATAATGTTTAGACTGGCAGAATATAAATTTAATTTGTGTTGAGCCTCTAACATGGTAGGACCTGACTAAAATTTGCATCTTGGTGTTAAGGTATTATGCTGATGTCCAGGAATAACATTTATGCTCTAATTTTCTTCAGATTTCAGGCATTAGGGTTAATTTTTAAATATATAATGTATTGTAAGCCTGCTTTTGGAGTTTAGGGGATTAGGTAATTTTTATGCTATGACTTTAATACCATAACTGTGTATACAAATATAATTGCTGGTGGGAGCTACACACAATTTTGCTAAAACTTTGTGATCAGCTTTTTAATGTGCTTTGTGGGATTAGGTGTCTGTGAATATATTGTATTGTACATATATATACAGATAATATATTTGGCTAATGAAACTTTGAACATACAGTATTACATATATAATACTGTAATGAAAAAAAATACCATTAACCTCTTCTGCACAGTGACATAATTTAAACAGTATTAAACACCATGATCTGTGGATAATGATTTTCAGTAGCATTTGACATGTACAGTATAATGCTGACATGAAATTAAGACACATGTGCAACATGTGTTTCACATGTGCCTTAATTTCATCTTGTTGGTATTGTATACCATTCTTGTACATTGCTTACATAAACCATTTACAGTACTGTTAGCAGCACTCTTTTTGTATACTGATGTTTAATTATATAAAACATGTAAATGACTGCAAACAAACACAGTACTAAATAGGGATATCTGAATAATGTCAGTGTTGCTGTATTTCTAAAGATTTCATGGTGAAAGCAGAAAAATTAATTAGTAATGGAATCATGATTTATTATGGCTGAAGTATGGCTTAGCTGACAAGTGATTTAAAGGACACATTTAGTAAAAGGAGACCTTTATTAATATGATATTTCAACTACATGAGGTTTTACTAGGTTCAGTATATAAAATATCAAAACAGGTGAGATATATACAGTATGTGGTACTGAGAAGTGGTGGGGTCAGGTGCTGGGTGAGGTTGAGATCAAAGGAGGGTAATATGTCCCATCCCAATGTGGGTGAGGCGACCTCTCAGGTGTATGTGAGGTGAAGGGTCAGTCAGATGAGTGTAAGGTTCATGGCAATGGAGATCAGGTTACTATTGCTTGTGGTTTAAATTACAAGGTAATCTGGTAATTTTTTTTGTGTGTTGTTTGAGAATGGTTTCAGCAATGGGTTTAGCTAAACTGTACTTTCCTCTATTCTGTGTGATGGTAATAATGTGTAACTGCTGATTCAAGACATGACTTCCTGTCTCAGTTGCTTGTCTAGTGCAAACAGGATAAACATTGAGGGACTTGAATATCTTACTACAAGAACACAGGTATGCCAGTACGGGTGGGCCCCACTTATACAGCCGGTTAGGTTCCGGGCTACTACTGTTAAGAAAAATCGCTGTAAAGTGAAACATGACCTCCTTTTCACTTTCAGATACATATAAAAGCCTGATAACATGTTTACACTATCATATATTAAGTGAGCAATAGAGTTAGACCTTAAAATATTTTCATCCTTAGCTTACAGTGAGTGGTGAATATATTTATTGTAGGAAGTCTGAATAAATGAAGAATGAGTATAATAGAAAACCATTGCATTACTGAATTGCTGTGAAACAAACTCTGTACAGTGGGGCCCTCCTGTATAAAGGATGACACACACACTGTGTACATAGTATACAGAAACACACATGAGCATCTCATGAACTTCAAACAAGACCATCTGTTGTACCAGAAAAGCAATAGAGAGAGGCAGTTATGTTTTGAATTATCAGCTATGCATGTCTGTAACACCATCAGAAAAAGAAGTACATATTAGTCAAACTCATCACAAAACAGCACAAATTACCAAGGTCTGTCCTTGTGACTCAGGCCACATGCAACACTACCTGACTTCAATTGATATGGGCCTTACCTGCATCTGACCAAACCCTTCACTTCACTCTTACCTGACAGATCACCTTACTTACACCAGATGAGAATTCTCACCTTTTTCTGACTTCAACCTTGCCCAGCACCTAACCCTCACCACTTCTCACCACCATATGCAGTAGACATCATATATATATGCAAGCACATAAACTCACCACACAGATAATGAGAACATGCACCATAAATTATTGTTTTAAACATAAAATACTGAAATGTTTATAGGTTACTCACCTAACCTAGTATTTTGTAGGATTACCTTTCCTCTTGCTGCGCTCCTTACATCTGCTAGGCACTGATAAGGCTAAGATATGGAGGATAGAAGAGTCAGTACCCTCCCACACCTGCTTAATGGTACTCAAGAATTTTGGGATAGTGGACATGTCTGTGACACAAAGCTTACGCTTAATCAGGGGTTCCATATGTTTTCTGTTGACTGGCACGATGAGTTATTGGGCCAGTCACTTTTTTGATATTTTATGTACATAACAGAGCCTCGTATAGATGGAATGTCATCTTAATAATGGCTTCCATTTACTCTGTGTCTCTTTAACCATGATCATTATTACTGCATCACAATTACTCTGGTGCCACCTGTACTGGATGGAGCAAGACTTTTACACCAAAAATGTTATCCATGGAGGCAAAGAAGGGAATGTATGAAAGTATAGTGGTACCAACACTCTTATATGGACGTGAGGCTTGAGTTGTAAATGCTGCAGCGAGGAG